AGCCTGACTTCACCAGCTCAGTAAGTTACTTCACCACCTCAGCCTGACTTCACCAGCTCAGTAAGTGACTTCACCAGCTCAGTAAGGGACTTCACCACCTCAGCCTGACTTCACCAGCTCAGTAAGTGACTTCACCACCTCAGCCTGACTTCACCAGCTCAGTAAGTGACTTCACCACCTCAGCCTGACTTCAGCAGCTCAGTAAGGGACTTCACCACCTCAGCATGACTTCACCAGCTCAGTAAGTTACTTCACCACCTCAGCCTGACTTCACCAGCTCAGTAAGGGACTTCACCAGCTCAGTAAGTGACTTCACCACCTCAGCCTGACTTCACCAGCTCAGTAAGTGACTTCACCACCTCAGCCTGACTTCACCAGCTCAGTAAGGGACTTCACCACAGTACCAGGATTTATGGTACATACACTACCGGTCAAAAGTTTTAGAACACCTACTCATTCAAGGGTTTTTCTTTATTTTTACTATTTTCGAAATTATAGAATAATAGTGAAGACATCAGAACTATGAAATAACACATATGGAATCATGTAGTAACCAAAAAAGTGTTAAAGAAATCAAAATATATTTTATATTTGAGATTCTTCAAATAGCCATCCTTTGCCTTGATGACAGCTTTGCACACTCTTGGCATTCCCTTAACCAGCTTCACCTGGAATGCTTTTCCAACAGTCTTGAAGGAGTTCCCACATATGCTGAGCACTTGTTGGCTGCTTTTCCTTCACTCTGCGGTCCGACTCATCCCAAACCATCGCAATTTGGTTGAGGTCGAGGGATTGTGGAGGCCAGGTCATCTGATGCAGCACTCCATCACTCTCCTTCTTGGTAAAATAGCCTTTACACTGCCTGGAGGTGTGTTGGGTCATTGTCCTGTTGAAAAACAAATGATAGTCCCACTAAGCCCAAACCAGATGGAATGGCGTATTGCTGCAGAATGCTGTGGAGGCATGCTGGTTAAGTGTCCCTTGAATTCTAAATAAATCACAGACAGTGTCACCAGCAAAGCACCGCCACACTATAACACCTCCTCCTCCATGCTTTACGGTGGGAAATACACATGTGGAGATCATCCGTTCACTCACACCACGTCTCACAAAGACACAGCAGTTAGAACCAAAAATCTCAAATTTGGACTCCAGACCAAAGGACACATTTCCACCAGTCTAATGTCCATTGCTCGTGTTTCTTGGCCCAAGCAAGTCTCCTTTAGTAGTGGTTTCTTTGCAGCAATTTGACCATGAAGGCCTGATTCACACAGTCTCCTCTGAACAGTTGATGTTGACATGTGTCTCAGTGAAGCATTTATTTGGGCTGCAATTTCTGAGGCTGGTAACTCTAATTAACTTATCCTCTGCAGCAGAGGTAACTCTGGGTCTTCCATTCCTGTGGCGGTCCTCATGAGAGCCAGTTTCATCATAGCGCTTGATGGTTTTTGAGACTGAACTTGAAGAAACTTTCAAAGTGCTTGAAATGTTCCGTATTGACTGACCTTCATGTCTTAAAGTAATGATGGACTGTCGTTTCTCTTTGCTTATTTGAGCTGTTATTGTTACTGTATAATATGGACTTGGTCTTTTACCAAATAGGGCTATCTTCTGTATACCCTCCCTACCTTGTCACAACACAACTGATTGGCTCAAACGCATAAAGAAGTAAATAAATTCCACAAATTAACTTTTAAGAAGGCACACCTGTTAATTGAAATGCATTCCAGGTGACTACCTCATGAAGCTGGTTGAAAGAATGCCAAGAGTGTGCAAAGCTGTCATCAATGCAAAGGATGTCTATTTGAAGAATCTCAAATATAACATATATTTTGATTTGTTTAACACTTTGTTGGTTCCTACATGATTCCATAAGTGTTATTTCATTGTTTTGATGTATTCACTATTATTCTACAATGTAGAAAATAGGAAAATCCCTTGAATGAGTAGGTGTTCTAAAACTTTTGACCGGTAGTGTACATGTTCACATACATGTCCATGCTACAGTGTAACATTCAGTGCTTTAACAAGTACTTCTGCCAACTTCAAGTGTTCTACTACAGGGAGTTGATGCAGAGGGCTGAGATGGAGAGAGACTCACATACACCCAGTGACACAGAAGAGAAAGGCCTGGTCTGACTCAGAGGACACTGATGAGGAGGAAGAGGTAGTGGAGCCTCCACAGAAGAGGCAACATGGGAGCTCTGACGAGCAGTGGCTCTTTTCTGATGAGGAGATGGAGAAACTCGAGGCCATTCTGGGGGTGTTGGAGTTGGCAGTGGCGATGGGCTTACTCTCTGCCTCTGAGGTATCAGTTAGGATATTGGTAGGTATAGGTTTGCTAATACATTCTTTATTTGTATATCAATATATTATTTAAAATAAATACATAAATAATTTAATCATAAAAATGGTTGCTTCTTGTCAGATTGTTTTGCGTCTTGCCTCCAAGTCAGATTTGTGTGTGTGTGTGTGTGTGTGTGCGTGCAAGCGAGTGAGAGTGTGTACTTGCCTCCAATAATAAGCAACTGGACTTCGTCCTGAAACACAATCATTCCCTTCTCCCTCCTCCCCTCCCTCTCCCTCATTCCTAAACTCCCTGACGTTCTAACTCTATCCCACCCCTGGTAAGGTACCTGCACAGGCCAGGTCCAGCTCTCCCTTGCCGAACCACAGCTGAGCTCCGTGGACTGTACAGGTGTGGAACTGCAGCCTGAACACTGCCTCCCTCTCTGAGCCACGCGGCCGCCGGTGGTAGCACTTCACCTGGAGAAAGAGAGAGAGGGAGAGGGAAGGAGGGAGAGGGAAGGGGTAGAGAGAGGGAGAGAGAGAGAGGGGAGAAAGGGAGAGACAGAGACGGGTGGGGGGAGAGAGGGAGAGACAGAAACGGCGTGGGGGGAGAGAGCGGGTAAATACTTATTTTTGCGCCACATTGGCAACAAAAGCTCCAATCAGTTGCATTCTTATTCAAATGCAAAATGGAGGATAGTTTGTTTACTTCTGTGGCTATAAACCAATAAGAGAACAGGTCAAATGGGAGATAGTAGATTATGATTAACAGGAGTGAAAGTTAGCCACTGGGCATCCATTTTGTGTCTAACAGTGCTCTCTCACCATGATGTCCCCTTTCAACAGTAGCGCCGGCTCGAGCATCACACACAGCTTCCTCGCCCTGGAGCCCTGGGGATCGCTACGCATACAGACAGACGTAAACATAGTCAAAACACACGTCAACATAGTAAAACACACCTCAACATAGTCAAAACACATGCTAACATAGTCAAAACACATGCTAACATAGTCAAAACACATGCTAACATAGTCAAAACACACCTCAACATAGTAAAACACACCTCAACATAGTCAAAACACTTGCTAACATAGTCAAAACACACCTCAACATAGTAAAACACAGGTAAACCCTGTTCAGTTGGAGTAAACTCAGACCAGCACACATGTAAACACAGACAGTAGCACATATAAACAGCATAAACAAGTCCCAACAAAGGTACACAAGTACCTAGCATGTGTGAAAGTGGAAAGGGAACACAGTGAAAAACACACTAGAGACCATATGCTATTATTCACCACAATAATCGTTAACAACATAAATGAACTCACTAGATGCCTGAGGTGTAGACCAGCTGTAGAGACTGGTAGATCTTCAGGAAAGGATAGTAACCTGCACGGAGAGGGAAAGAAGTGTGAGAAAGAAGGAGAGACAGCAGGGGGAGAAAGAGGGTGTTGTTGTGATGTCATTAAAAAAGAATGGGTTGCAATCTATCCCCCCAAAGTTTTGAAGTTCAATAAAAATACTTGATAATTTAAAAAAAATACTAGTGTTGATACTCCTAACAGTACTAAACAAAAAAGACTAATGTTGATACCCCTAACAGTACTAAACTCCTGAGTGGCGCAGTGGTCTAAGGCACTGCATCGCAGTGCTAACTGTGCCACTAGAGATCCTGGTTCGAATCCAGGCTCTGTCGCAGCCGGCCGCGACCGGGAGACTCATGGGCGGCGCACAATTGGCCCAGCGTCGTCCAGGGTAGGGGAGGGAATGGCCGGCAGGGATGTAGCTCAGTTGATAGAGCATGGCGTTTGCAACGCCAGGGTTGTGGGTTCGATTCCCACGGGGGGCCAGTATAAAAAAATATATATATGTGTTCACTAACTGTAAGTCGCTCTGGATAAGAGCGTCTGCTAAATGACAAAAAAAAAAAAAAAAACTATAAATACTAATGTTGATACTCCTAACAGTACTAAACTAAAAATACTAGTTGATCATTCTAAAAATACTGATGTTGATACTCCTAACAGTACTAAACTAAAAATACTAGTTGATCATTCTAAAAAATACTGATGTTGATATTCCTAACAGTACTAAACTAAAAATACTAGTTGATCATTCTAAAAATACTAATGTTGATACTCCTAACAGTACTAAACTAAAAATACTAATGCTGATACTCCTAACAGTACTAAACTAATACGTTCCAACTCATTTCCATCTCAACATTTTCTGTTGTTTCAACTTGAAAAGAAGAGTTACTACACACATTTGACCTTACATTTTCAAATAAAATTGATTTACTGAGTTTACTTCAATTAAAACCATAAGGCATCGTGGTAATTTATATTTTCGAGTTGAAACAACTTAGATTTGACAGTGTAGTGTACTACATCACATTGTACAGTAGGACACTGACCTCCCCCTGCTGCCTGGAAGTTGGGCAGGCTGGGGATGAGGACCTGGTGAAGGTATAGAGGAATGCTGTTCATCTTGATCGCCCCCGACAGCAGACCCCCAAAGTAGTACATATACCTGGAGAGGAGAGGAGAGAGAGAGGGGTATAGAATTAGGAGTAAAACACACAAGAGGGAGGAGAAATGGGGGGGAATATGCGGGAAAGTTGCATGGCATAAGAGAGAGAGAGCGAGAGAGAGAGAGAGGGGAGATGTTCTTGCCTGTTCTGGGAGGGCTGTAGCGAGGAGGAGACTTTATCCTCACAGAACTTCCTCATGGCCAGAGTGGTCAGGGCCTGGTCCGCCCTACACACACACAAACAGGCTATCAATAAACAGGCTACCCCCCCCCCCCCCCCCCCCGCCCCACACACACACACACACATCACATACCCTGCAGAGATCTTGCTGTAATGCATGTAGGCACCCACAATGACCCCCGTCTTCCCTGTGTTTCCCTGTGAGCGAGAAAAAAGAAAAAAGAAAAGAAAAGAGAGATGTAAGATAACTGGACATATTTGAACAGAAAACACAACACAATACAACAAGTCACTAAACCCTCCCTGACCTTGCAGTGCAGGACAACCACGTTGCTGGGGTCAGAGGTCAGCCAGGTCTCCATGGCCTTACACATGGCACAGATCTTATCCAGTGGAGGGGCGTGCAGGTCGGGCCAACCAAAGTCTTCAACCTGAAGATGAGAGAACATTTTAGGTTCTGAGGGCTATTTAGTTAGCCTGCTCCCAGATCTGTGGTCCTCTGTAGCTCAATTGGTAGAGCATGGCGCTTGTAACGCCAGGGTAGTGGGTTCGATCCCCGGGACCACCCATATGAACAATTTATGCACACATGACTGTAAGTCGCTTTGGATAAAAGCGTCTGCTAAATGGCATATTATTATTATTTATTACTGTCTTGCCAACTCCATGTTTGGCATGACAATATGACCATAGTAGTTGGCAAGACAGCAAAAACAGATGTGGACAAAAAAACAATCTTGGTCGACCTAGAGTAGTCTGTTCTTTCGACCAATCGATTGGTCAAAATTGTACAATTTGTATTTTTCCCTTTATATGTGTTTTAATAAAATAAACTATATTTAGGCTACTGAGCTTGTCTGATGCTTTAAGCACACTGTGATTAAATAGACACACAAATGACTGAATAGGGAGCCAGAGATCAAGATAGCATAACCAGATTCTGCCATTAAGCTCTTGAAGTTGCCGGTAGGTAATAGCCTACCCCAGGGGTTGTCAACCCTTTTCCATTTGGAGGGCCAATTTATCTCACCATTTCGACCGATCTGCGTGCCAGTTATGATTTTCATATGCACATTTTCGTGGAACAGTTTCATTTAATTAGTATCTCAATATCTTTATCATTTGGTTAATCAAAATTCTAAAAGTAATTTCTATTGCCATTGGCAACTATGTAAAAATAGCCTACATAAAGCCAACAAATAAAAACATTGCAGCCTGCATGTAGAAAATATCCTGATAAAAATAAATATCCTATAAATTACATTGGTTATGCATGGCCTGTCTGCAAGGAACTTGAAACATTGATTCAACTATTAACCTGGGTCTGGCCTGAAGCTCATGCTAGCAAACTTGCAACATTGTATAAAATATTCTGGGCACTCAGAGTTTCCTGAGCAAGTGAGCTCCGGACAGACAAAGCTGTAGGCTATTTGCGCAAGGGATAAGAAGTAATCAGGTAGGCCTATTTTATGACGTTTCCACCAGATACGAGCATTACATTTTTTTCCCCTTTCACGCTGAGTCGTTATCAAAAGAGAGCTGGAAAGATTTTTCAAATAGGCTACGTTGAGGAACTATTGTCATTCTCAATGGATGTAAAAACATACTTTGTTTACTTGCTACAGTGAGGGAAAAAAGTATTTGATCCCCTGCTGATTTTGTACGTTTGCCCACTGACAAAGACATGATCAGTCTATAATTTTAATGGTAGGTTTATTTGAACATTGAGAGACAGAATAACAACAAAAAAATCCAGAAAAATGCATGTCAAAAATGTTATAAATTGATTTGCATTTTAATGAGGGAAATAAGTATTCGACCCTTCTGCAAAACATGACTTTGTACTTGGTGGCAAAACCCTTGTTGGCAATCACAGAGGTCAGACGTTTCTTGTAGTTGGCCCCCAGGTTTGCACACATCTCAGGAGGGATTTTGTCCCACTCCTCTTTGCAGATCTTCTCCAAGTCATTAAGGTTTCGAGGCTGACGTTTGGCAACTCGAACCTTCAGCTCCCTCCACAGATTTTCTATGGGATTAAGGTCTGGAGACTGGCTAGGCCACTCCAGGACCTTAATGTGCTTTTTCTTGAGCCACTCCTTTGTTGTCTTGGCCGTGTGTTTTGGGTCATTGTCATGCTGGAATACCCATCCACGACCCATTTTCAATGCCCTGGCTAAGGGAAGGAGGTTCTCACCCAAGATTTGACGGTACATGGCCCCGTCCATCGTCCCTTTGATGCGGTGAAGTTGTCCTTTCCCCTTAGCAGAAAAAAAACACCCGCAAAGCATAATGTTTCCACCTCCATGTTTGACGGTGGGGATGGTGTTCTTGGGGTCATAGGCAGCATTCCTCCTCCTCCAAACACGGCGAGTTGAGTTGATGCCAAAGAGTTCGATTCTGGTCTCATCTGACCACAACACTTTCACCCAGTTCTCCTCTGAATCATTCAGATGTTCATTGGCAAACTTCAGACGGCCCTGTATATGTGCTTTCTTGAGCAGGGGGACCTTGCGGGCGCTGCAGGATTTCAGTCCTTCACGGCGTAGTGTGTTACCAATTGTTTTCTTGGTGACTACGGTCCCAGCTGCCTTGAGATCATTGACAAGATCCTCCCGTGTAGTTCTGGGCTGATTCCTCACCGTTCTCATGATCATTGCAACTCCACAAGGTGAGATCTTGCATGAAGCCCCAGGCCGAGGGAGATTGACAGTTATTTTGTGTTTCTTCCTTTTGCGAATAATCACACCAACTGTTGTCACCTTCTCACCAAGCTGCTTGGCGATGGTCTTGTAGCCCATTCCAGCCTTGTGTAGGTCTACAATCTTGTCCCTGACATCCTTGGAGAGCTCTTTGGTATTGGCCATGGTGGAGAGTTTGGAATCTGATTGATTGATTGCTTCTGTGGACCGGTGTCTTTTATACAGGTAACAAACTGAGATTAGGAGCACTCCCTTTAAGAGTGTGCTCCTAATCTCAGCTCGTTACCTGTATAAAAGACAACTGGGAGCCAGAAATCTTTCTGATTGAGAGGGGGTCAAATACTTATTTCCCTCATTAAAATTAAAATCAATTTATTACATTTTTGACATGTGTTTTTCTGGATTTTTTTGTTGTTATTCTGTCTCTCACTGTTTAAATAAACCTACCATTAAAATTATAGACTGATCATTTATTTGTCAGTGGGCAAACGTACAAAATCAGCAGGGGATCAAATACTTTTTTCCCTCACTGTATTTGAGGTGAAGAAAAAATAATATTTGAGAAGCTCCACAGTGGTGGTGAGTTAAGACAATCAGAAATACTATCAGCTCTGCAAATGGCCACATTTATAGGCCTACATTTGCACGCAGGCCTAGGCCTACTCCAATGCATAATCAGGTGCATGTCCTTACTGAACATTGACAGGAGCGCTACAAATAAAAGACAATTAATAAATTGACAACTCGTAAATGGAATGAAATAAACCAAAACGTGTTCCTCACAAGTGTGGTCCGCAAACAACGTGTCCATTCTGACAATGAGAACGGTGAAATACTGTAATAATAATATTATATTGAATGCATTAACATAAATTACCGTAACCAAACAAATATTGTGGATGATAAATTATGGGAATTAAAGGTAAATGTACTACTGGTGATACTGGTGTGCCATCCCAGCGGCGTGAATCAGACAGGTGTCTCATGAGCCATAAAAAAAATAAAAATATATATATATATATATAGTCTCGGCCGACCAACAGCCTATCGACCAAACAGTCGACAAAATGGGGTCAGACCTAGTGTGTATGTAGTCGTCCTACCTTGGGGTTGAGTCGTGTGATGTCATGACGCTTCTCAGACAGGTTTAAGAGCTGGTAGAGGGAGACGTTGAGACAAAAAGAATAGGAAATCAACAATGTCATACCCAGCAAGCACACAACCACCACACAACATTGCCTCAACGTTGACTGCAAGTTGTGTGGCAAAAATGCACATCACGTAAGTGATTGGAGGAAACAAAACAATTAGCGTTTGTTTAAAAAGAACAATATACTGTTTGTATTGCTTCTTTATAACACCACACAGTAACATAGTTAATACCCAAACGGAATGTAAGCATGAGTATTGGTCACTTGCTATATAAAAGAGTAATGGAAGAAGATGGCGCTACCTCAATGGTTCACAATTGTTCGCAGGTTACGATACAAAACACTGTTGTTCACAGATCATTACATTTCTGCCAGAACAAGTAAATAAACAAACAAACAACAAACAAACACACCTTTGTTTTTGGTGTTATAAAAGTTTAAGTTGGAACTTAAAATCTGTTTCAAATTAAATATGATCTCCTTTTCATTGCATTTTGTGAGTATAATGTGTGATCAAAATGGATAATTCAATACATTTATTCAGTTTAAATGTCCATTTGATCTCCATATAGACAGAAGTGGGAAACCTTACTTTGTAAAGGCCGTTGTGGGTGCAGACTTTTGCTTCAGCTGAGTAGTAAAATGCCCCGTTCCAAAAATCAAAGCCTTAATTTGGGACAATGATTAGTTGATACATTTAATTAGCAGTGTTACTGCTTGGCGGGAGCAAAAGCATGCACCCACACCAGTCCTCTCAGGGTGGGATGATAAGACAATAAATTAACTTTGGGGAGTGGCAATATGGTATGTGGGCTTCTTTTTATACATATGTATCGACTGATGTTCCCAGCACCAGGGTCATGTTCATTAGTGCACGCAAAAGTTTGAAAACGATTTGCAAGAACATTTAAACGAGCGTAGTCCCTCCCTCCCTGTTTCAGTCTGCTTAGTTGCCTTTGATGCCTAATGAACACAACCTAGTTCACATTTTGGATGTGTGAATTGCTTTTTTCCAAATACAGTAGTCCTTTCCCCCCTAACTCACCAGGAACTTATCTTGGTGTTTGGACTTGAGCATAGCAGCCACTTCCTGTAGGTTACCACGGTAACGTTGTTCTTCCAAGTGGGGCAGAAAGAAGACAGAGATGATCCGCTCAGTGATGTAGGTGAGGTCAAAGTCATAGTGCCTCGCCATCACTCTCTCCATCACACGATCCACACTCTTACTCCTGGAGGAGAAGAGAGAGAGAGGGGGGGAAGGAGGAAGAGGGAGCGAGGAGGGGGATAGTGAAAGAGAGAGAAAGAGGGTCAATTACTCTATCACTCTCTTCCATCATCTGCTGTCTCTCTTAATTTCTCCTTCACCACCCACTCAAAAATTCAGATTTCTTCCTGTGAAACCATAAAAACAAAACAATCACTTTGCCTTTTTCATCTGACCAGGTCTTGATTACTTAATTGGCAAAGTGGGCAAATTTAGGCAGGAAATGCCAACAACTAACAGTGAGCCATTGTACTCATGCATAAAAAAACGAATAATGAAAGAAAAGCAATGTAAGTTAGAATTTTGTAAAGTTAGTGTGGGAGAGGTGGAACAATGATTGTTATTGATCAATAAAGACAAACCTCCTGGCATTGACAACCTAGATGGAAAGCTACTGAGGATGGTAGCTGACTCTAAAGCCACTCCTATCTTTAATCTGAGCCTAGAGGAAAGTCTTTGTAAACAAATTAACTACAGACTTTCAGCATGCTTATAGAGAAGGGCACTCAACATGTACTGCACTGACACAAAATAAACTGATAATAAGAAGATTGTGGGAGCTGTACTGTTAGATTTCAGTGCAGCCTTTGATATTATTGACCATAACTTGTTGTTGAGAAAACGTATGTGTTATGGCTAGGGCTGTTGCGGTGACCGTATTAGGCAGTGAAATTCCACGTGACCGCTTAGTCATGGTAATTAGGCTTCTCCAAGCTCTGATGCTGCTGATGGTCATTAGTAGCCTACCAAACTTGCTAACTGCCTGGTACTCAGCACTCTACTGTCCCTCTAATCACTCTGACATCAATGCACACCCCATGTAGCCTAGGCCATAGGCATATATGTTTTAATAAGGTTTGTATCACAACTAAAGTGGCCAAATAACTTCTTAAAATTAAGCACATTAATCCGCTTTACAAGGAGTGTAGAGCCTAACTGGCATACATAAGCAGTGTGTGAGGTTCATGTTTGGGGAAGATAATTTTCACCATAAAAATGCACATTTACAATAAAAGCATTCCATGCATGATTGCATTTGCGGTCACTTTTGCTAATGGTGTTTTCCGCTAATTGAACATTTGTGCTTATAGCCTACTACCATGTGTGCATTGCTGCACTTGTAATGTGAAGAAATAGCTTAATAGTTTATCAACATTTTAAGCTAAACGTTCTGATCTGTTGCGTCAGCCACATTGCGTAAAAAAGGTTTTTTGATGCTAGTGGTTGTATTAATTTTGGATCTATCGCATCCCACAACTGTCTCAGACTATGTTTGGAATATTTATTTCTCGCACAGAATAGAATAGGTTGACCTATGGGGATAGTAGATTGACATAGGTTAGTGCTTTTGCTGTTCGTTAGGCCTACTCATCTTGTTGGCTGACGAAAAGTAAATGTGGACAGTTCTTCCAATATCTTCAATATGCACCTCGGAATTGGATAAGGACATGCGCAGTTGCGTCCCCGTTGTGTCTGTCTTCACTTGTAGCCTGTGAGAAAGACCCGATCACATGATGGAGCGTGCAGCACTCAGCAAGAAGGGCATAACAGCCACTGGCCGCAAAAGGCATGGATTTATTTAGGGTGCATTATGGCCACACAAAGCGGAGTGTGTACAGCCTGCGCAAAAAACAAAGCAGAGCTCATGCCTTTCAAGTGACTTTTTTCAAATCATCATTAGAGTCGCATCACACAGAGTTACAAAGTATTAACAATCAAAACATATAGCCCAACGTTTGTAGAACAACTAAAGTTACATTAATAACTCTAAATTAAGCATATAGGAATACCTACTTATTTGTTAACCGCTCAACACAGAATAGCCGCATGTGCGCACTTCCTCAAATCGTTTGGAGAAAATATCCTTTCTATTTTATTCAGCTTTGTTCAATTGTATTCTTCATACTATAAAACAATATAAAATCATGACATGGAATTCTAAGCAAATCTTGTCTGCTAAATGAACTAGCGTAGCCCACAGCCATTTGGCATAGCCAGATCAGGACCTAACATAAGGACAACTCAGAGTATGCTATTCTGTTCTTCTGAAATAGACTACATTTTCTTCATATCATGCTTCTTTAGACCTGTCTAACATAAATTATGGATTTATTGTGAAGGTGTAGGTTATATTACATGGATTTATTTCACTTTTTAAAATGTAGATGTTGCAAAGGTCAGCATCAGTCGCTTGTAGGCTATGTTAATTAACAGTAAATTACCGTGAGACCGACAGTTATTTGCTTGACAATCACCGGCTGACAAGATTTCGTGACCGCCACAGCCCTAGTTATGGCTTTTCAACCTCTGCCATATCATGGATTCAGAGCTTTCTATCTAATAGAACTCAGAGGGTTTTATTTAATGGAAGCTCTCTAATGTCAAACCTGTCAAGTGTGGTGTACCGCAGGGCAGCTCTTAAGGCCCTCTACTCTTTTCTATTTTTACCAATGACCTGCCACTCTCATTAAACAAAGCATGTGTGTCCATGTATGCTGATGATTCAACCATATACGCATCAGCAACCACAGCTAATGAAGTCACTGAAACCCTTACCAAAGAGTTGCAGTCTGTTTTGGAATGGATGGCCAGTAATAAACTGGTCCTGAACATCTCTAAAACTAAGAGCATTGCATTTGGTACAAATCATTCCCTAAATTCTAGAGCTCAGCTGAATCTGGCAATGAATGGTGTGGCTGTTAAATGACTTGGTGTTACCTTAGATTGTAAACTGTCATGGTCAAAACATATAGATTCAATGGTAATAAAGATGGGGAGAGGTCTGTCCGTAATAAAAAGATGCTCTGCTTTTTTGACATCACACTCTACAAAGCAAGTCCTGCAGGCTCTAGTTTGATCTTATCTTGATTATTGTCCAGTCATATGGTCAAGTGCTGCAAAGAAAGACCTAGTTATGCTGCAGCTGGCCCAGAACAGAGCGGCACGTCTTGCTCTTCATTGTAATCACAGGGCTAACATTAATACTATGCATGCCAGTCTCTTGGCTAAGAGTTGAGGAAAGACTGACTGTGTCACTTCTTGTTTTTTATAAGAAACATTAATGTGTTGGAAATTCCAAATTGTTTGCATAGTCAACTTACACACAGCACTGACACACACTTACCCACCAGACATGCCACCAGGGGTCTTTTCACAGTCCCCAGGTCCAGAACAAATTCAAGGAAACGTACAGTATTATACAGAGCCATGAGTGCATTGAACTCCCTTCCATCTTATATAGCGCAAGTGAACAGCAAACCTGGTTTCAAAAAACAAATAAAGCAACACCTCATGGCACAACGCCTCTCCCCCATGTACATGTTGTGTGTATGTACTGATGTATGTGTAACTGATAGATGCACATTTTAAAGTATTTTGTCTGTAATGTATTTTTTGTTATTTGTCGGACCTCAGTAAGACTAGCTGTCGCCACTGGCATCAGCTAATGGGGATCCTAATAAATCTAATCACTCCGCACTCACACTCCTGAATACACTATGTGCAACTGATTGAATCCCGTCCCAAGTCCTTCACTACTAAGTAGAAAGAGAACAAGTCCTTCACTGAACAAAAATATAAAGGCAACATGTAAAGTGTTGGTTCCATGTTTCATGAGCTGAAATAAATGATCCCAGAAATTTTCAGTGAGCATTTCTGCTTTGCCAAGATAATCCATCCACTTTATTTTATTTAAAAAAAAATTGTTTAACCTTTATTTAACTAGGCAAGTCAGTTAAGAACAAATTCTTATTTACAATGACGGCCTACACCGGCCAAACCCGGACGATGCTGGGCCAATTGTGCGCCGCCCTATGGGACTCCCAATCACGGCTGGTTGTGATACAGCCTGGAATCGAACCATGGGTTCTGTAGTGACGCCTCAAGCACTGAGATGCAGTGTCTTAGACCGCTGCGCCACTTACAGGTGTGGCATACAAAGAAGCTGATTAAATAACATGATCATTACACAGGTGCACCTTGTGCTGGGGACAATAAAAAGCCACTATAACGTGCAGTTTTGTCACAACACAATGCCACAGATGTCTCAAGTTGAGGGCATGTGCAATTTGCATGCTGACTGCAGGAATGTCCACCAGAGCTGTTGCTTGAGAATTGAATGTTAATTTCTCTACCATCAGCCACCTCCAACGTCGTTTTAGAGAATTTGTCAGTACTTCCAACCGGCCTCACAACCGCAGATCGTCTGAGACCAGCCCCCCGGAGAGCTGATGAAACTGTGGGTTTGCAAAACTGAAGAATTTCTGCACAAACTGTCAGAAACCGTCTCAGGGAAGCTCGTCTGCATGCTCGTCGTCCTCACCAGGGTCTTGACCTGACTGCAGTTTGGTGTCATAACCGACTTCAGTGGCAAATGCTCACATTCGATGGGCACTGGCACGCTGGAGAAGTTTGCTCGGTTTCAACTGTACCGGGCAGATGGCAGACAGCGTTTTATGGTGTTGTGTGGGCGAGCGGTTTGCTGATGTCAATGTTGTGAACAGAGTGCCCCATGGTGGCGGTGGGGTTATGGTATGGGCAGGAATAATCTACGGACAACGAACACAATTGCATTTTATCGATGGCAATTTGAATGCAAAGAGATACCGTGACGAGATCCTGAGGCACATTGTCGTGCCATTATCACCTCCTGTTTCAGCATGATAATGCATGGCCCCATGTCATAAGGATCTGTACACAATTCCTGGAAGCTGAAAATGTCCCAGTTTTTCCATGGCCTATATACTCACCAGACATGTCACCCATTGAGCATGTTTGGGATGTTCTGGGTCGACGTGTACGACAACATATTCCAGTTCCCGCCAATATCCAGCAACTTCGCACAGCCATTGAAGAGGAGAGGGACAACATTACATAGGCCACAATCAACA